GAGCTCCGGTGAGATTGCTCGTCCCGGAACACCTGCTACGTTTTGCCGGCTGATTTAGTGCCCCGTTGGAATCAGCGCCGAGTTTTACAACGCTCTTTAATGCGCCCCGTTCTTTCCCCCGGCCGCGCTCCAAGTATTCATGTCGTCCGACAGGCGCGACTGCGTCGCGCGGGCCGACCTTTTGCACGACAGCCACTTCTGAATCGCGCACTATTAATTAGCCGCCGCTGAGGCGGCGGCTTCTCCGCGCGAATTACCGGTTACGCGCATTTGCCCTGCGCAGCCGATGCTGAGCGCGACTCGATCTCGCAGCGGGGAAATCGGTGAGCGAGATGGAGGACGGATTTCGGCCGATGCTTTCCATCGGGTATGATCGCGCAAGAAATCAGCGGGATACATTTGATTCGTAGATCTTCGCGCTTGTGTACTGAAAGAAAGAAGCGGTCGATCTCGCTGGAAGCTGCAGACATTTTCGCGGTTATACAGGGTGTCCGGGATCTTTTGGGAACGAAAAATTGTGAAGATTGATCAGATCAAAGGTTGAGAGGAAAAATCATGTAGGATTTTGCAAAAATCGCGATAGTTATTAGATTGTTAATGATTGAAAATGACCACATTTGGGGGCTCTTTTGATTGATAACTTGAAAATTAATTATTCATAAATCATTAATAAAATCAATCTTTAATAACTTAATAACCATTGCGATTTCTGCAAAATGACTTTTCTTCTCAGTTTGATCCGATTAATCTTCGCAATTTTTCGTTTCCAAAAGATCCTGGACAGCTTGTATTTGTTGTCGTTTATAATTCTCTGTAGTAGCACTCGTTGTAACAATGGGTTTCCCGGCTGTATTTCATCATGCGATTGTCTTCACAAACACTCATCTTTCTGTGTAGGATTTCGCACGCATGATATCTCTTGCATCCTTCTTAAAGACTGCTTCTAAATTTTTCGTTTCAAACTTCTGATGTGTTTAAACTTGCTTCCATACTTTCGATCTAATGATCCCGCTAATGTGCACAAATATTTTGGTACGCAATTTTCACGATTTTCTACGTTGAAAATTCACAAATATCGAACGGAATTATTTATCCATCGGTGACCGCCCGATTGTTTGAAAAAGCGCACTAATGTCGCGTGGCAGAAATATACGCTACTATTGCGTCATCGCAGGCGGAATTCGCAATTGCCGGCTTTGCTCACGATCGCCGCTTTTGCAATCGGCGCGAGCGCTAATTTTCCAAATCTCTCACACGCGACATGGCTGTATCATTTCGTTCGAAATCGCCGCTAAATCGGACATTCCAGTCTTGACAGCCAGAATTCCCGCGAAACGAGTATCTCGACTTTCGCCGAGATTTTTCCACGTGGACGAAACTCCGTATCTCCGTTCCTTCCGTCGAATTTGCCAAAAGCGCCGCGCGGCTTCGCTCGTTTTCTCGTCGAGACGCTAAACTTTGTCTTGGGTATTTCTCCCTAAAGCGTCCAGCGACGTTGAAACGATCGCGACGTCGCGAGTGCGGCGCAACGAGGTAAAGCGAAGCGAAGCGATGTGAAGTGAAGTGAAGTGCCATCGACATGTGGGACGCCGAGCGAGCGCTACGACGACGGATGCCGTCGAGGACGTGGAGCTGAACATCGCGTCGCGGGACATCAACGCGCATTGGTGAGCAATACACAATCAGAACCGCTTACAAAGCGTCGCATTACGCAGTGCATACAATGTATAGACGCAAATCGCATCGGCTGCCCAGGAGAAAAGTCGCCGCTCGACGGGTGTGACAGTGCAAACTCGTCGAAAGAGAAAAAACTGAATGACACAAGAAAAAGAACACGTCCCGGGGATTGGATGGCGAGCGGTAGCGCGCTCTTGTAGTGTCTGAAAGTCACGAACCTGCGATACATGGTATACCCAGAGCGAGAGAGCGAGAGAGAGAGAGGCTTCTCACAGGGAATAATGGAGAGTACAGGCTTTCTCCTCTTTCTCTCTCCCTTTCTTCCTTTTTCTCTCGCTTTTTGTTATCCTCCGGACGCGCGATCAGCAAGATGGTGAAAATGAAGCGCTGAAGGGAAGAAAAGCGCGACTTTGTTCGGGCAGCGTCGAAGCGTCTAATTATCGCATCGGCCGTTTCCACACGGCCGGCGGGATCGCGGAGAGATCACGTAGAGCAGCGGAGCCGGCGTGTCGAGGTAATCTCGTTGCGTGCGATCGCGTGTCGTGTTCGCGGAATGCGCAAACGTGCGAAGGGACCTTAATTAACTCGATTAAGACGTTAAGCGTCCGTCCTGTTGTAACGCGATTCTCCGCCGCGCCTCGCGCGCTTCTTCCGCGGCCGTTCGATACGCGGCGGCGCGGCGATTTGGCGCGCGACTCCGAACAAAAGAGGAACAAGAAGGAAAAGAAAAAGAAGAAGAAGAAGAAGAAGACGAAGTTCTCTCGATGTAGTTTGTTTGTACCTGTTCTCGTACCGCCTGCCGTTCCGTATCCGACGGATAGATCGCCGAATGTGTGCAGTCGGCTGAACCCGGCGGAAAATATTCTGCGATTCCTTCAGCGACGTTTTTTAGCCGCCCGCAACTTTTGATTCCTCCGAGGACCGTTTGTGCTCCGGAGAAGCTGGCGGCTCTTCCAAAGCTCCGCCAAAGGAGCGACTGTCCTTTTCGGGGACATCCGAAAACGGTCAACCGTGTTCGAAAGAGGAATTACAAACTTGTAAAAACGACTCTATCGTTTTCTCTTCGGAATACTGTTGATCGATTGAAGACACTGCAAAAAGAATCGGAAGGTCTTTCGCTTTTGTGAATTTCGAGATGTCGTAATTTTTTAAAACCCGTAGGGATGCTGGTGCAGAAAAGGAAAGAAAGGCAAGAAATATCGCCTCGAATTCCAGCAGTCGTTTGTTCGAAAATGTCTTAACGGATGCCTTTTGCAAGTCTCTTTTCAGAAGAAGCTCGTTTCTTCGCGCATCGAGACGTTGAGAACCGGACAATTGGTCCGTTATTCCGAGACTCCTAAATTTTTATCCTGCCTTCGATTTCTCGGTATTGCATTCAACACTCACTTCATACTCTGAACATTATGCGTATCATCCTGTTTTGATTCCTAACCTAGAGACTTTAGCCGAGAGGATCCTTCCGGAGAATTTATAAATAGCAAATTGTGTTGCGTTTTCTGCGTTTCAGAGATACCGAGTACGAGGCTTCAGTTTCTTTTCTATGTACTCAAGAAGATCCTTTGATCCTGCCGAATCCCTACAGATATTGGACAGTTCGGATCAAAAATATGGCCAAGTTTACGATATGGAATTTTGCACGGTGTTATTTTGCAGATAAACGAGGATATTACGACGTGTCGTAAGTCGAGGATATTCGCGCGCCGACGCTCGGCTTTCTTTCCGAGCTCACATCGGCATCCGATCTTCGAAGCGTTTTCACGCCCTTTTCCCAATCTCGCTCGCTTATCCTGCCTGCCTGCCGTCTTCTCGAGGCTCCTCGTTAGCGCCCGCCGCGGTGCGATTATCGCTAATCGCACCGTTCATGCAAACACAGATGAAATGACGGCTCGTTATTGTGGCAATTTTTATCAGCCGCTATCGCGTGGTTACGCAAATCGCGACTGAGCCGCTGTACTTTATATTCCAGTACGTGCGAATTATAGGTGAGGGCGCGCGCGCGCATAAATTAATGTCTTTCCGCTTGCGTGGAGTCGCCGCGCCGGCCGAGACACGTCGCGCCGGCGGGATGATGAGCTAATTATTAACAAAGTTGATCGAAATTCCGCCAGTCGATATTACGACCTGACATTCGCGGAAAAGTAATGTCTAATCGCACGCGGAGTTCTGCCGTCACTTAATCTCGTCCGCGATCGATCTGCGCATCGAGACTCTCTTTCTCTCTTTTTCTCGAACAAACAAGAAATTACGATAATTATACGGACAAAAGTCGGCTCGTTACCTGGTCGGATTTTCCGCGTTACCTGGTCGGATCAGATGAAAAATCGGCCGTAAGGACAAGGATCAGCCTCGCTGTAGCAGCTTTCATTCAGTCAATTGTTCTCAGTCGCCTCGAGCGAGTCTCTCTCGAGTTTCAAAGCAGCCGAATGTACAGAAGAATGTTTTCGGTGGCAGTGACAAAGCTATCTTTCCTCGTCAACGAGATTCCAACGGATGCCATTCGCCCGCGCGAAACTGAGATTTCTCGCTCGCGCACGACCGTACAAAGGACGATTCCCCGACGGCGATCGCGAGCGCCCGCGGACTTTTCCCGAGAGTGCCTTCGGGGAGATATGGACGAAAACTCGACGACTGAAGAAGAATTTGTCCGAACGAGCGTCCAGCTATCGTGAAACTCGGCTGGACCGAGTGAAAGTAATCGACTGATTAGATTCCTCGCCGCGGAGGAATTTCTCTGATCCTCCAAAGTGACTTCTTCGTTGGAAAATTCAGTCGCACTAACGAAGCTATTTTTCGCGCGCGCGCGCGCGCGCGTACCTCAGCTCGTCGCGTAGCTGCGTCGTGACGAGAAACGATTCCCGTGTTATCGTAATCGGGAAGATTTGTCGGAACATTCGGCTGTTTCGGAGCTCGCCCGAGATAACTGAGAGAGCAGCAGAGACTGAACGCGGAGAGAAAGACCTCACTTGGCGAGGAGCTCCGAGGCGAGAAACGATGTTCCAGTTACAGCGATCGAGGGCGTTCGAGCGAGTAAAAACTTCTCGCGCCAATCATCAGCCCGGGTTCTCGCCTGGTCCCCGGAGAGTCCAGTTACATCAGCGGAGCTGCGCAAAACCGCGAAACCCCAGCGACTACCCCGAGTAGTTTCTCCTCGCCACGTGCAATCGCCACGAGTATCGTTCTCTTCCGCCGTGGCGAGCGAAGGGCAGCTCTCTCTCTCTCTCTCTCTCTCTCTCTCTCTCTCAGCTACCCCGGGCCGTTTTCGCGTCGGGTCGGGGAAATTCCGTCGGGGCGTGAAATGAATGAGAAATGACAGATAGACTCACGGGTGATGTGGCGGTGCGTGGAAGGCCGCGGCTGTGATGTGGTGCTCCCAGCCGGTCACCGAGTGCGTCGGATGCGGCGGCGGCGGCGGCGGCGGGCCGTGATGCGGGTGGAAGGTCGGCGGCGGTGGTGCATGGGGGTGCGGATGGAAGGCCGCGTAGAAGGCCGTGTGCGGGTGATGCGGCGGTGGCGGTGGCGGCAGCAAGGAGAAAGCCTCCTGATGATAAGCGACCTCCTTCTCCGGCATCTTGCCGGCGGCCGCCGACGCTGCGGCTGCTGCTGCTGCTGCTGTCGCTGCTGCGGTCGCTGCTGCTAAGGCCAGGTGCTGCGCCAGGTAGCTGCCGCTGCCTTGCTGCTCCAGGATCAAGGCAGACAGATGATCGCTCTGGCAGCGTGCTCGACGACTACTCGAGAGCGACGATGAGACCGGCGGCCGGTGATAACCGCAGACATAGTCCGTGCTCGGAGAAGCGGTCCACTTGTGCCCGCGAGACGACGGCGGCGGCGGCTCGGCGTATGAGACGTGCTGCTGCTCGTGGCTGCTGCTGCTGCTGGTGCCGCTCGCTCGCGCCTGCCGAGCGAGATGCTCCGCCTGGTAGACGGATGTTGGCTCGTAGGGCGCACCCTCCAAGCCCTCCACGTCTACATCCTCGTTGTCGGAACTCGAGTGCGAGCGGAGGCGAAGGTGGCTGCCGTCGGCGGCGGCGGGCCCGTCGGCGCCCCCGCGAGAAGCAATTCTGTTGGTTCCTGGACGTTAGCTCGTTAGCTCACGACGATCGTCCGTCGGCCCGTCGGTGCTCGTCGATGTGGTGACGGTGTGTTGGCGCTTCTTCGCCGGCCGTGTCTTTATCGTCCCCGGGAATCCCCGCCGTGTATACCACTTCCGCCACGAGCGCGTACGCGCGCGCGCGCCAGCGCGCCAGCGCGCTCCGGCTCGAGCCGACGGATCCGAGCTGATCCGCGACAATCCCACGAGAGAGCCCGGCTTTGACACCCGCAGCTCCTTTCACTGACCGCCGAATACGGTGACTCACTGTTAATCCACGCGGGCCAAGCTCGATTGGTCACTGATAGCCCCGGCGGCAAGTCGCGCGCCGCGCAGCCACGACACGTATTATCGCCGCGCGAACGACCCCGTCGTCGTCGCCGTCGCGGTACCCTCGCCCCGTCAGATCTACCGGATAAGGCCGCGCAGCCGGGCGATCACCATCCTCGCGATTAATTCGCCACGACGGCCACCATCCGCGCGAGCCGAGACCGCGTCGTGCCTCGTCGGCGAGCGAATCGGACTGCTTCTGACGGCGCGTCCAATGTCCCCGCGATCGCATTCCTGACCGCCGTCCTGCGCGCGAACGGATGCGTCCCGGGGGCACCGAGTGTTGTTGAGAGCGGCCGAGCGACGCTGATCACTAGCCGCCGTTCGGCGGGCCGACACGCTCGCGGCGACACTTGTTCCTGTCCCCGGGGACTTCGGAACGATCCGGCATCAGGTTGCACTGTCCAGGTGGCTTGCCTGGCTGTATTTTAGAACGTAGATCCCAATTCTCTCCTCTCGCGGCGCGCGCCGAGTCTCTCTCTCTTTCTCTCGCTCTCTATCTGTCTCCGTCCCCGTGCGAGCACGAGGGTTGCCGAGTGAGGGAGAAGTGGCAGACAGAAAATAAGGGAGGAAGAGAGAGAGAGAGAGAGTGAGAGAGATAGTGAGAGAGAGAGAGAGAGAGCGAGAGAGAGCGAGAGTGAGAGCGAGAGAGAGCGAGAGTGAGAGAGAGAGCGAGAGTGAGAGAAAGGTAGCGAAAGAGAAAAAGGGGAGAGAGAGAGAGAGAGAGAGAGAAAGAGAGAGAGAGAAAGAGAGAGGAAAGAAAGGTTGTCTGCTCCGGAAAGGCACGGGACTCCGAACGTGCGTCGTATCCGGACCCTGTCACGGTGCTTGTGCTTTGGCGGGTATGGCGGTACTGACTCCTCCACCACCACCATCACCATCGCCACTACCACCACCACCATCACGACCACCACCACCACCACCACCACCGCCAGCAACAGCAGCAACAGCAGCGGCGGCGGCAGCGGCGGCGGCGGCGGCGGCGGCGGCGGCTTCGGCGGCGGCGGCGACGACGGCAGCAGCACCACCACCTCCGTTGGTAGAACCATCAGGAGAGAGAGCATGGTCGAGGAGGAGAGAGGTCGGGCGTACGGCGGTGGCTGCTGCGGTTGTGTGTTGTCGGGTGGGCGTGCGACAGAGAGGCCGAGGACGCCGAAGTAGACGCGAGGAGGAAAATTCGACGTGGGACCGAGGAAGACGGCGCGAACGCCTCTCCGATGTGGATCAAGGAGAGAGAAGGGGGGAGAGGGAGAGAGAGCGAGAGCGAGAGAGAGCGAGAGAGAGAGAGAGAGAGAGAGAGAGAGAGAGAGAGAAGACTCCACGGAGAAGAGGTAGTAGTAGACGTCGAGGAACGATGCGGGAGAGAAAGAGAGGCGGTTCGATCGGACATGGTGGGAAGGTTCGCAAGAAGAGAGGGAACATGCGGCTGTGGCGAAGGACGAAGAGAGACCTGATCGTTGGACCGACGGCTGAACGAGGAGAGAGAACGCGTGTCAGCTCGACAACTCAACTAGCACCAGCCGTCCCTGACTCCCACCCTCGGCCCTTTCGGATCTCTCGTCTCGTTCCCGCGACTACGTAGGGAAGCGCGTGGGTGCATCGGGGAGAGACGAGTCCCTCTCCTTCTTCCTCTCCGCTTCGCCTTCTCCCTGTTCCTCCCCCGAGCACGCTTCACGAGATGAACTTGGAAGACGCGGCCGAAGACCGTCGCGCGCGAGGTTGATGATAGTTGACGAGGTCGCGTTTGATTTCGAGGGAGCAGCCTGTGTGATTCACCGCGCCGCTACAGTTTGTCCAGGAGGTTGCGGTCGAAGCTGAGGACCGATTTCTATGTTCATTCTTACAGATTAAAAGTTACGACCGAGGTCCTTTTTCTCCCCGTCGGCAGTCCTGATCCAAAGGTATTGGACGGAAAAGCGCTGTAGGGACCGGCCGGCCCGCGAACGGCAACCACGTGTGTCCTTTCCGCAGTCGCAGCTTCCGGTGGACTCTACCGTGAATTTTCGCCATGTGTCTCCTCGGTGTTTCTCTCTCTCTCTCTCTCTGCTTCTTCGGCTCGCTTGAAAAGAGCCGCCGATTTCTCCAAGTCGCACAAGGGACAAGCTTGGAAAAATCTGGTCACCCGACGGCGGCGAGCGAAGACACGTCTCGTTCGCCCACTGTCAGTACGTCGTGCCTTTCCTCGTGTTTTCGCTTGACCTCCTCTCCCCGGCTGCTCCGGTTTCGTGTTGCCGGGCAGCACGTGTGAGACAAGCGGCGGCGAGGGTGCGACTTGCGTTTCGTCGGCGTCTCTCGTGGCGATCTATTTCTTCGGCGCGATTAACGAGCGTCCATTTCGGGAAGCCGTTCACCGCGTCTCGCTGTCCCAAGCGCCTTTATTGGGACTTCGGAGTCGCTTGCGTGCGCTCATAAACAGCGACGCGAACACTTTTACAGACGGGGTGCATCTGCTTCTTCTTCTTCTTCTTCTTCTTCGTCGTCGTCGTCGTCGTCGTCGTCGCCGTCGTTGTCGTCATCGTCTCCTTCTTCTTCTTCTTCTTCTTCTTCTTCTTCTTCATCTTCTTATTTTGCTTCCTCCTCCTCTCCACCACCCTCAGATTCATCGATCTTCTTTGGACCCGGCACGAATCAACAATTGTCGATCCGTGCTGGAGGTGCCTGAATATCAGACATCGTCTGATACCTGTGACTGATGCCAGGACGAAGCGGCATCGAGCGAAAAAGGACGACGCGCTCGAGGCGCGTCCACGGCGGCAAAATAATCATCACGATCGCTCGCGAATCGCAAAAATGCGCCCGGCATCAGCGCGTAGCGCCAGATACGCATCGACCTTGAGTCTGATTTCGACGTCGACGACGACGACGACGACGACGACAACGGCGGACGCTTCGATAATCACCGCCGGGGAAGAGGGATGAAGTGCATAGAGTCATTAACTAGCCGTCGACTCGTTGCGGTTGTCCTCTTCAACCTGCTAGTCGTTTGTCCCTCACACCCCACTCGCTCAGTCACCCTCCCTCCTCCGAGCCCACCGACACGTCCGTGTAATTCTCTACGGAGCGAGCGAGCGAACGGGACCCTCCTCATCAGCCGCGAACCGCGTTACACGTTCGCGTCCGCCGACAAACACCCGTGACTACTCATTATTTTGTTGATTTTGCGGGCCCGGCAGCGGGATTCCGTTCCGCGGGACCTAATTATCGGCGAACGACCGGCCAATCAGCCGGCACGGAACAACGACGTGCGCGGGCTTTTAGGTATCGACTCGGGCTTGCTCGTTCTTGCGAATCAGCGCCGTCCTAATCGTCCTGCTCTTCTGCACTGGCACGGGGATGTTAACATGCGCGGGCGCCGGCGGCTTTTCCACTCGGCTCCGGTGCTCGTCGTGCCGTGGCGCGGATACCGGGGACGATTCCACGCGGCCGGAACGTCCTGCCGAAAGAGGAGCCGGGCCGCGGAAGCGAGCTGCCGCTCGCTTTCTCTCTCTCTCTCTCTCTCTCTCTCTCTCTCTCTCTCTCTCTCTCTCTCTCTCTCCGTCGAATGTTTGTCGTTCGGAACGTTAGGCCCTTGTTCGCGATCGCAAAAGACCACAAGTAGTATGAAATCGGGGAGCGATCAGGCCGTTAATGCGCGTTCGCCACGAACGTATAGTTTGGGATATCGCGCGACAGGCGTGACTTCCTGTCTCCTCCCTTGGTGTGTCCAATCGATACGTTTTGTCGACTTTTTGAATCGCCGTAGTCGACCGCCGGCTCGGCTATTTAGATGCGCCGCGAATGGCGGCAGGAGGAGGGTGGGTGATGGCCGGCGGCGGCGGGGCGGGGGAGGGCTGGGCGGTGGGGGGGAGGGGGACAGGCAAGAAATAGAATTGTCAAGCCGGGGGATCGCTTTGTGCGGGGCCCGGGCTGAGTGAATGGACCCGCGCGCGAGCGGTCGTTAAAATCGACAGAGTGCCGATATGCGAGCGCGCGGCTACGTCCAATCGATCCGTCTTACAGGACTGCTCCTGAGAGAGAGAGAGAGAGAGAGAGAGAGAGAGAGAGAGTGCCGTGCCGCAAAAAGTGGTTGCTGCGCTTCATGGTAGTCGTGTTAGCCCAGTGTAAACAAAAAGGGACGCGTGTTACATGCGCTATGTGAGTACAGCGATGGGCCGAGGCAGCAACAACGAGCCGCGCGCTCGTTACGACCGGCGGCGTATGAGAGAATCCCTGCGCCCCGTCTCTTCCATCCCTCTGGCCGGCTGGAATTTCCTCCTGCCCGAGAGCTTCCAGTTTTTCGCTTTTCGCGAGCCTTTGTCCACCTCCCCACTCCTCCCCGCCCCTCGGTCGTTATCCCACGATGACGGTGCTGAGCGATGTTGTTGTCGTTATTGTTCTATACTGGGTCGCGGTGTTTACAAAAGAGGGGCCGGCGTGTTCAAGCGGTGTTTACAAATGTGAAATCGTGAGATCGCCCGCGCGCCGATTTGCTTCGGCGATCGTTCTGTGGCGCATCTGCGCGGAGATCTCATTTTTCATTCTTTGTGATAGTCGATGAAGCATGAAGGAGACAATCGCACGCAGTGTTCTTCGAAGCGACCGAGAGGGTCCTTGTGGGTTTCTGGTCGTTCCGGCACTTGGACGATCTCGAGGATTCTGTGAAAATCGGGCAACAACGGGAGGAGAAAAGCGATACTCGCGGTGGCGCATCTCAGCATCTCTCATTATCCTCGAGCATCTCGATTTGCTTGGAAGGCGTTCTAGCAGTAAGACGTTGGATGTTGACTGCAGAAAGGGAAGACTGGAACCCTTTAGTCTCTGGACGCTGGTGGGGGAGTGGGCCGAGCCAATGATGGGACTGCTTATGGGGGGCCTCACCGGGTACCTGTTGGTCAGGTGTCCCCACTCCCGCTGCACCTTTTCTCTCGCTCCTTCTCGCTCCCTCTCACGCCGATGCTTCCACCCTGTCGTTCCTCTCGCTCTCGCTCGCTCCAGCCGAGAGAACATCGCAGCGCTCCGTGAGGATTATTCCCCGGGATCGCTATTGATCTTTCGACACTCTCTCATCTCGTCCAATGTCTTAAATACCGCGCGAAATTTCGCGAGAGCTCTCGGCTCTTCTCGTCGTCTCGTTGAACACGCGCCAATTCGCGTCGCTCTTGCTCCGGGACGCTCTGTCTCCGTCGCTTCTCTGTCGCCGGTTTCCAGGCGAGACTTAGGTACCGAAGTTGGGGTTGCGACCGTCGCCCACCCGGAGAGACCTCGGGCGATAACGCGATGGCGCGCACGAAGGACGACGTCGTGCGCAGGGGCAATTTGCGACTCGATCGAAGAAAATACGCTGCTGCGCCGAAACAAGCGCGCCTTCGGCGGGCCGAAAACGGCGGTAGGCGAAAGCCGCAAGAAGTGGCGGCTTTTACGCGGGAAACGTAACACGAGCGGCCGCAGGCTGCGATTCGTGACTTCTCAGAAAGCCGATGGAGCCTCGCGTTGCCTTGCGGGCCCGTTTCCGAGCCCCCCGTGGTTCTAGCTCATTAACCGGCACTCACCCCCTACACCCCCTCCTACCTCATCATCCTCTTCTGCACATCGTTGGCGTGACGGCGGCTGGGCCCTACGAACGGCGTGCG